AAGTATCCACAAATCTCACCTCTTCCCATGAGATTTCGAGAGAATTGAATCAAAATTTTATATGGAATCTCTACAAATCAATTAAACTCCATAAAAATCCATGGATTTATAAATCCATTAAAATCTCTCACATTCTCAATTGAATACACCCCCCTTAGATGAGCATTACTCGATATGAGTTTAGCAGGAATTTGAACAATAACTAAAAAAACTGTTTTTGTCCACGATTAAAGCAAGAATAATGGTGAGTGTGTAACTTTTCGTTCCCATTTGGGCAGTAAGTTTTCTTTCCTCTTCAAATTTACGATTTTGATTTCCGTTTTCTCCCTCCCTCTCTCCCTTTTTTTTTGTTTTCTTGAATGTTGGATTGGATTTGTATTCCACGTTGGTGTTTGCCTCACTCATATGCAGGCTGCAGATTTCTATTTTCGAGTTTGAATATAACATTATTTTATGGCTAGTCCTATGAGGATAGAGTAGTTGGAAGATAGTACATGTGATAAAAATTAGGATTTAAGCCTATGTGGTGAAGTCTATTAGGATTTAGGCCCATGTGAGCCTCATATGCTACCAATTAACGAAGAGTTGACGAAATTTTTAATTTTAGGTTTAAATTCTAACAGACTTCACCACATGGGCTTAAATCCTAGGTTTTTTACTTCATGAGCTATTTTCCAACTACTCTATCACTATAGGATTATTAATCTAATTAAACATTATTTTATTTGTTTATCATAAATTGGTGATTCCGATAACTCTTTGCAATTCATTTCTTACTAATTTAGTCACTATCGCTTACCACTTGACAATTCATCACCCAGACAAAGACTAGAAAAGAAATGAAAGCGTTGAGCCAAGTTTGGAGTAGAGTATGTGGCCAATATTCTATAGCACTTAAAAGAGTTCTTCTTCAAGGGCAAGTGGCCCTCTACCACAGTGGTGGAGAGGAGTGTTGACCTTTGCACCATAACATGGGTTCAAACCCTATCGGCTCCCTAATTTGACAAATTTATCGTTTGACAAAAAATAAAATCTTCAAGGAGTTCATAAGTGGTAGAATATTGTATCATCCGATAAAATGTGCAGCTTTACCCTTAAATTTTCAAAATTTCTTTACTGTCTCGTTGAAGTATTAATTAATCTTATGCTAGTAGTCGGACTCATTACTTAATTTAATGTACGCAATCTCTGTTTGCATCAGGAAGAAGATTGTTCATCTGATAGACTTTTGAACAGAAGGGAGCTTTTGGAGACTGGTCTTACGCACCTCACAATCCTGACTCTGACTTGAAATCTTGTTTCCGAGAGTGAAATCGACCGCTGAAAACACAGTGGAATGCTTCAAATTAGAGATTGGCGTTCATATTTTAGTGTTTAAATATCATTACTACATCTATATCTTGTAAAAAAGAAAGATTATTAAGAAAGGCTTGGAAATTAGTAGATCCCTTGTGGGGGTCAGTCTTGAATTTGTTATGGATGCTACTTCAGTTTTGGTATGATTTAGCATTAAAGAACTGAGAAATTTTATGTTCTGAATACACATGGCACGCCCAGACCGGGGCGTCAGTGGAAAGTAACCCCACGTCTGGAGGAGATTTTTCAATATTTTCAAAACACAAAGTGATACACTAGAATACAAGTAGTGAGACACTTATGTTAAAAATTTAACAACTTACAAAATAAAACTTCCCCACTTATACAATGACACGTGATATATCACCTGTGTTTCAGGTACATTTGGCGTTGTGTTGAGAATATTAAAAATGATGATGATGCTTGAGAAATTTTTTTGTAATTCATTTCTTACTAATTAGTCGCCAAACAATCCATCACCCAAACAAAGACTGGAAAACAAATGAAAGGGCCAATAATAATATAAGACTTTATTTTTATTTTTTATTATTGGTTGAGGAAATTAAATAATAGTGCAGAGCAACATAGCACGCAACACGGTGTAGAAAATAAATTACATCGTTGCAATAATAAATATGTAGTGGGTAACTTCAACAACAAGGCATAGTAAATAATAATTTTTTTAACATTAGTACAATATCCATTGATAATATAGATTAAGAATGCAACATCCAATAAAGATTAAGAATGCAATTTGGTTTAAAAGAACATATCATTCATGGTCATCACACTTCATGTTAAATAAAATATGTATATGTTCTAGAATGGCAAGATTCAAAGTTTTCATTTGATAATGGATAAAAGTGGCGTTTGCATTTCTTTTAGTTGAGGCTTTGACATTTTTTGTGGTTGAAGTTTGAATTGTGATTGATAGTGATTTATCAAATTGAATTTTAACTGGTGTTGACGCGATTTGATTTAACTTTAAAAAATTCTTTAAATATAAAGTAGAATTGAGTTTGAATATAAAAAAGAAAATAATGAAAAATGTTTTAAAACTTTAAATCTTAACCAAACACACTTTAATAACTTTATTTAATAATTAGGATAAATAATAATAATAATAATAAAATATTAACAAAAGCACAAATTAATCAATCCTTGGTCCCCACTTGGCTGGCTGGTTGCCTTATAGCCACGCACGCCAAAAATTGGGTTGTTTCCCTCCTTTCATTGAAGTGCAAGTCATTTTAATTAAATAAAATTATTAGGTTAGTTTTGGTTTGAAGAACCCTTTTCATTAGGACTCTCTAAATAAAATTGGACAACTCGAGCCTAACCTGAGTTAGGATTGGTTGACCATCCAATCAGCCCCCGAATTTCTTAGACTGAGGCATAAGGTTATGAATAATACTTGACTATAACTTGGCCAATTAACAAAATATCTTATTTATAATCGAAACTGTTATAACTATAAGCACAATATTTTGGGAAAAAATCAAAAGTGTTTTTGAGAAAAAAGTGAAAACTGTTATAACTATAACTTGGCAACCAGTTATCAATAAATTATAACATTTGATCCAGTTAGCAACTGGGAGAATAAGAAAGAGACAAGATATAGTGGTTTATTTTGATTTTTATATATTTTGGTGAATGAGATTTTCTACTCAGGATCTGTTGAGTTGCAAACCCGATCGGGCATTGAGTTGCGGCGATACAATATGGGGTTTGAATAAACAAAAGGACTTCAATTCCATCCCTTTTTACCGGCATTATCTTCCCTAACCATTATCTCAGTTTCATGCTTGTATTGAAACTCGTCTGTAAGGACTAAGGTGGCTTGTATTCATCTACTCTATATAGCGGCAATTTTGTAAGATAAGCCAAAAATAATCTCCCATACAAATGGTTATTTTGGATATTATTTTTCTGCTACAATTACTAATTAGTATGTCAATGTTATGTTCTCTGTTATGAATTTTATTACTAGTTACCATGTGAATGGCGTGCTCTTTGGTCTGAATTCTCCACATGAATTGAGTATCTTCTGAGTTTTAAGTCTTCAAAGTATTTACCACGTCAACGATAGGCTCATCTGTTGTCCCAAAAAAAGAACATAACTTTTTTTTTTTCGACACTGTTCTCAAGATCAAAGAGAAGGTTCAAAAATACCCAAGCGATTCCCATTTCCAACCAAACCCTAGTCTTCAATAGCCAAGTCCTACACGACCAATGCGACGTTGAATACTGACAACTACAACAATTCTCGCATCCAACTCCTAGTCGCATCTGAATTCGATGAACCGACGAATAATAGTAATTGTAACAACAATGTGAAGATCATGGAGGACAAGCCTATAAAATCCAGCTCAACACGAAGACCCCACGTCCAAAAATGCATGTCTCTATTGAAAAGGCCGAACACAACACCGTCTTGAAGCTAAAAGAGAAAATTCAAGCCATCATTTAGTTCTTTCCTATTAATCGTTTGGTGCTTCATGCAGTTGGAAACAAGTCCAGAAATAAGTTGAAGCTTATCGTGTTAACAAAGTGCGGTACAAAGAAGATTGCGGTGAAAGTGAATTTCATCTGCAGCAAGTTTATAATGTGATGGATATCGACAACTCGTTTCGGTGGCATCAGGTTGGACAGGATGATAAGATTTTTAATGGTAGTGTTACCAGTGGATTGTATTAATCTACAACATTTTTCATTTTGTTACCATGGTTTCTAATTTTTTTTTAATTTGGAATAAATAAAAAAAATATGCAGTCAATATATTCTACCAACAAAACAAAAAAAACAAAAAAAAGTTAAAATTCAGTTAGAATTATTTATCTAAAAACATCAGTTGGGTGAAAATTTTTATACATCTCTCTTTTCTAATTACTGTTATTGCAAATAATTTAAGAAAATGAAAATTATCTCATATTTTAGTTTCTACCAATATCTCAGATTCTCAGTTACACTTGTACTTGTAATTGTTAGCCAATATCTCAGTTACGTATATACTTGTAAATTGTTAGAAGAATTGGTAGTCATTATACAATCATACTTCATGTAATAAGAGGTTCTATAGTCATTTCATTTTTACTTATATATGGCATCAAATAAATGTGACCACAACATCATGAAATGGATATTTCATGGAAATTAAAAAAGTGAGATAATTATTTGATGAATAAGTTACTAGTAACCCATATAGTTAAGAGTTGTTTTGGCATCTTAAAGATGATGATGCGACAAGGAGTTGTTTCAGTTAGTTAAAAACATTGAACATTTTTCCAGGTTCATCGATATTGAATCAATCGAGCTCACCTCTAAGACGTGCTTCATTTTTAACAGACGTTGTGCCATATCATCAAAATTGTTTTCAAAGTTTTGAGTTCGATACTCTCCTAGCCTAATATGGTAATATCTCATACATATAAAATAAATAAATAAAGATGACGCAACTACATTTACACTGTTTTCGAACACAAAGCGGTGGCTCATCCAAAAACTTGTCGCTCAGTTAGTTAAAAACATTCCAAAAACGGTGACCCATTAGAAAATCCAAAATAGGCCCATTACAAACGCCCATTTCCTGGTTTGTCATATCCAAGCCCAAAACAAAAGGCCTAAACACAGTGAAGTAAAAAAGACATCTCTCTGTCTCCCCCTCTCTCTCTCTCACTGTACATCTCTGCTCTCTGCTCCTCCCATGGCGTTTGGATACATAAGGCAGTTTCTGGCTTCGGAGGCATTCAAAAATACAGGGAGAGAAATAAGGGACGTCGGTCCGAGACTGGTAAAGTTCGTATGCTTCGTCCAAGTCACCAAGACGCACCTCCTCACCGTAGCTCTGGTAACTGTTAACTGATTTTTTTTTTTTTTAATTACGTTAAATTCGATGAGCTGAGAGCAAAAATGAACAGAAACACGGGGATGGGTTGTGATTCCGTGTGTGCAGTGCTACGGTCCCAGCATGCTCCCGACCATCGGCCTGGCCGGAAATAATTTGTGCTTGGCTGAACGTATCTCGACCCGGTTCGACAGAATCGGTGTCGGAGATATTGTCATGGTACGGTCGCCTGAGGCTCCTCGGAAGACCGTCGCCAAGAGATTGATAGCAACGGAGGGTCAGTCTGTTACTTATGTTGTCGACCCTAAGAACGGTGATCGGTCGGAGACTATAGTGGTATCTTCGTGTTCCATTTCAACTTTGCAATGTTGGTTTTGTTTTGGATTTTGGGTTTTTGGTTTTCGACATTTTCGTTTATGTTCTTCGGTTTTTTTTTTTAAGGATTTTGGAGATTGTAATGTTGTTGTTGGTAATAGGTTCCTAAGGGACATGTTTGGGTGGAGGGAGACAACATCTATGCCTCGCGTGATTCGAGGAATTTCGGGCCGGTTCCTTACGGGCTTGTTGAAGGCAGAATCTTCTGGAGGGTGAGAAAGTTTTCTTCTTTTAGCTCGATTTGAATTATGTGCATATACATCGTTTGGATTGGTTTCGGATTGACTTGCTATGCGTAAAGGAATTCATGTTGAGTGGAATTGTGAAGAAGATATGCCCCTTCAATTTGTGAGTTGTAGGATTATTTGTTTTAGGAGAGTACATGGCGGAAAACCAAGCGCAGAGACGTTGTATGATTCATGCAGCCGACCCCACTTGGTGTGATAAGGCTTGGTTGTTGTTGTTGTTGCAGAAAGTATATGAAATTTAGCTCCAATAGAAGCTAGAAATCAAGTGATGGTGAAAATTGTAAGGGATAAGATGTGCGTAAGTGATTGTCGTTATGCTTTTCACTGTGAAGAATTGGAAGATGTATTTACTGGCAGTGGTAGAACTAGTATGGTATCATAGAAATGAACAACGAAGTGTCTTTTAGTAGTTTTATTTTCTTGTTTGGTACTAAAGATTTCTCGTGTTTGATCACTTTGTCATTAGATATGGCCGCCTAAAGACTTTGGATCGTTGGAGCAAAGCAAAGGGAAGGATATGGACTCCTGAGGTACACTTACTGAACATGCACACTGTTAGTAAGCCATCTGTAACTAGACAATCTTGTTCTGAAGCTGCTGTTTGAGTGATGTATAAGCTCCTTTTAAATCATTGAGCGGATAAAATCATTGAGCGGATAAATTCTTGTCCAAGACACTAGACTTTTGTGGTTAGATCTTTAATCCACCACCAACTTACGTTTCAGTGATTTCTCCATTGATGTCACGGTTTACTGTATACGTGGATTGTGATTGGCTTTCGATGGAAGTGATCTCTAAGAATTCGTACTTTCTGCATAAACTTATAATTCAGTAGTCCTGACTCCTGAGAAGTCTTGGGGTTGCAGTCTTCATGATTTGGGTTGATCGGAGCATTTCTTTATACAAACTTTCTCCGGTGTGAATCTTTGAGAGATTAATCTTTTTACTTTTACGCAACAAACACAAAGCCGTTATCTTTTTATTTCAACTTCAACAAAAATTTAATGAAGCACATCAAAATACTTTTGGAGCGGAAAGAATCCCTCAATTAGCATATGGTTGCTATTTACATCCCCAAAATGTCAAAAAACCGTGGCAACGGCGACTTATGGCTGTACACAAAGTTCCAGCTCCGGCCAAGAATGTCACTCGACGCCCTCTTCATCTCGTCCTCTCAGTGTCGCACTTCTTGTCTGGCATATCGTTCTTTGATTCCAGCTCACTCCATAGATTTGGCGAGCAAGGACGTGCTTCGCACTCAGGAACGTTAGTAAGACTCACTTTCCATACAGGATGAGTGTTATACGGGGCTTGTTCTTGATACCTGCACCTGAAAACCAAACTCAGTGAGCACAAACCTGAACGACTATCGACAAAACAAACCGAGATTTCAAATGGGTCTGCTACTGTAACGTCTAGCTACCACGGCGAAATCAAACCTGGTTCCGCAAGCTCATTGCAGCATTCCAGCTCTGAGGATCTTGTAATGTCGTGGAAATGTCGCTGATGAAGGTTAACGTAGACGGTTCTTCTCGTGTGTTAGCTGTTACAGAGGGCGGTATATCTCTCATGACCCATAAGACAAAGGCTGAAGGTATTGATGAACCTGAAAAAACAATATAAACATCGTAAAGATACTAAAAACGACAGGATTCATCTAACCACGAACAGTAAAGGAATTTAGAACGACCTACCTACGAAATAATATAAAATCAGTAAAACAGAAGTATAAGCATCCTTCATACGCTGTTGATGCCAATCGTAAAGCATCTGCAGAACGATATGGTCAAGTTTCGGAGAGTCATTGAACTGACTTAGATGTCTGAATAACGAAAAAAACCTTTGAGCTAACAATCAAGCACGTACAGGAATATCAGTTAATAGAGCCACCAAAGAACTCGAGGCGAAACAGAGAACGGAAACAACAGCTAAACCTGCAACCTGTCAAAAAAGAAGACGGAAGCAAGTGATAAACTATAAGCCACTGATATATGTTCACCGAACAATACACTTTCCGAATGATCTGATACTTTAACGGACAGATGAATGATATTATATACAACATGAGATTATGGAAATCAAGAAAACAAAGACCAAAATAAAAGTATACCTTCCACATCTCAGAAGAAGCTCTCTCAGATCTAACGTTTCTCATTCTCAGGAATAATAGGAGCCCTGAAAATCCAAGACAAAGCAAAACGACGCTTCAGATTGAAGGATAAGTATATAGAGGTGTTACTGACACTCCAAAATAGTCATTGCGCGCCCCTCCCCCTATAAAAATAGGGCGGAGTTGCACATAAAGAAATGCAAGTAAAAGAGTGAAACGATAGTTACTCACCATAACATGCTAATGCTCCTCCTAATAATAGTATCGCTATTGCAAAGAGATCTACATATACCTGGATAATGATAAAATTCATTGCACCACAGGTTAACTACTCGTTAATAAGAAATAAGTACGATGCAAAACTGCATATTCGGCCACAACAGTGATAACCTTCTTTACATCATCAAAAAGGAATTATACACATTTTAAACACCACTACATTACTAACAGTCGGCATCCAAGTTCCAAGCCGAAGAATTATTTAATGGTCTGAACACAAAACTGGGGCAGCAAAACTTTATTTCTTTTAGCATCTAAATATAGCAAAACTGGAACTATAGCATACCAAAGATAGAAGGTGATCACACATGTAACAATCTAGAATTAGCAACGCGTTCATACCCGAGCCACCAGTGCAGAATCAATAGGATTTTGTCCCATCCCGATCCAAATTATCACTGCACTTGCTATCATTATAACAAAAACTAGCAAGGTGACCTGGTAGACAACCTCAAAGTTAATAAATTTTAACATTAATTTCACAAAACATGACATAGGGAAATCATGCAACGCTAAGGACTAATATTAGATCATATATGAGTAGATAACAGGGAACTTTGAACTGTGGCAATACCAAAATTACGATTCTCTGGCGGCTTCCAATACGAATAAATCGCAGAGGAAAACAGGTCCTATGACTATCTCTGTCCAATGAATCTGGTCTGCTGAATGTCCGCTCCAACAAAGCTTCACGAAAACTCCCTTCATCCTCATCATCCTCATCATCTGCCTGATGACACAGGTCAACCCTAAAGAGAGATGTCATATATAGCTCAAACGAAACACCCTTTTCAATATAAGTACCAACTTGAGAAAGGCAATATTCAGGTAAAGAATGGTTGATATATCTTTAATTTATTCATGTAAAAGTGCACTTCCAGATCTCTATTTTCTGATGGCTCATAAAAAACACACTATAGAGACATTAGTAATCAACAACAGATCCTAACTATAACAGAATGGCCTGAAAAGAAAACAGGAAAGGCACACCACAGATCTATCAAAGCCACATATCCTTCAAATCCATAAGCAATGGATTTCTAAACTGTTCAAAGAAAGAGAAAACTACAAAAGTAACGAGATCATCTATATGCTGAATACTGATTCATAATATAAAAGTATATGGGAGCACTATATGTCTCAATAGATGTTGATTTGTTATGTATGTACTACTTCTCAGGTAATGCTGGTTATGCATCTTCACATCCATACTTCTGTTACCCTCATCCCATGGTTGTGTTTTTGCTTAGTTGCCCAGCACAATGTATGATGTTACTATTATACTTTTTAATTGACAGGTATTCTATGGTCACACAATACTCCTAATGCACTTTTCCATTTCATCCATCTTAATCTCTAGTCCCACCTCAACCTCTGTGTTTGCGAATGGAAAAAACAGTGCTGCTGATCGAAAACATAAAAGGCAGGTTGTATCCAAGATAGATGAAAAAAGCTAAGATCTCTACACTTTTTTCGACATTTTCATGAAAGTTCGTGAGCTAAGTTTTGGATTGTTTAAAATGAAAAAGAAGAAAAGGAAATAGAAAACTTACCAGAACGATAAAAGTAGAAGAAACACTGCAAAAAACAGAATTTCGGGTAATGCTGCAAAGCATTTTAACCATTCAGATACTCTGACCAAGCACTGAAGATAGATATATGGCGTGTATTGAAAGAGAAAGCATACCCATGAGGGTAAAACCACAAGAGTTAGACCAACATTGCCACCCCTTGCAAGCAGCAAAAAGAGTTAATACAAAATAAATTAAGCAACCTGTCACAGACAAGATCAAATAAATTAAATCAGTTTGAATCAAGATGTAAATACAACATGCTTGTCGAAGTCATAAGTTAATGGAAAAAATCATTACTTAAGATGGTATCATCAGTTCTGTATCTTGGTTGTGTAACAACTGGCTATGAGTCCAAACTCATGAACCAACAAGTTGTTGCAAAATCAGTCATACATAGAACATCAAATGATTTCAAAAGTCAGGAAAAGAGAGCCAAAATATCAAGGCTCTTGATAAGCAACATAATTAGGGCGAAGCATTCTTGAAAGAGAATATCAGATCTCAGACAAGAATAGAAGGCAATAGTGCATCAGGATCGGGAATAAACAATTTTTACCCAAATTAGAAGAGCCAATCAACAGATGAAAAACCTGCAGCGAGGCAATAGTATGTATTAAGACAATGCCAGCATGCTTTAGTAAGCTTCAATATAGCGATTAGTCATGCCGTAAGTACATATACATATTCACATGCATACAAGTGAGCATATTCATGCAGATGCAGCACCAAAGGTCGTACCCAGTGCACAAGGCTCCCGCTTTACGCAGGGTCTGGGAGAGGTGAATGTCGGCTAGCCTTACCCCCATTTTATGGAGCACCAAACACTAAAATATTACTGTATAGCCATCATGCACATGTATGATGTACCCCTTCATCATTTTCCTCCTCATATATGCATCCGTTCTAAATTGAATTTCCCTACCAAATTCTTAGGAACAATGTCTATAGATGCAATTTTTTATGGGACTCAACCTTGGGAGTTGTCAACCTATGACTTTAATGTATCCAGCGACAGCACAATTTCTCTAACAGTCACCAAAATTCTTCACATTAAGACTGATTCCTAGGAGGCCTTACGATGTCAAACTACAACATCCAGAACAAATAGGTAAATCCAGCAAGTTCTTTTGAAATTTAGCTACATCATGCATGCACGCACGCACAAACACATGTATAACTGTCGGGAGTTTTAACGAAACACTCCCAGTACTGTTCACTTTTAACGAAAATGACATTTTTACTCTAAAATGTCACTCATGGTACTATTCACTTACAACACCTTTTTGTCCTTTTGATTAAAACTCAAAGTTTTCAAGCCCCTTTCATTAGTTTTCCTATAAATGTGTTGGTATGTATGTAAGCATATGTATGTATTTGTATTACATACCTGCATATATATAGAAAAAACATACACAAACAAACAAAAAGAAACAGAAATAAAATGTGAATTTGAATAAGGAATAGTAATCTTGACCAAAAAAATAAATCAACAAGGAATGGTAAAGCATGGTTCATCACTTACTTTTTGTCGAGTCCAGCCAAGTTGTGAATTCCTCGAGTGAATTCTAATTAACTGAAATAGCAAGGAAAAGAAACTCAGAATCATTTCAACAAAAGAACCTCATAGACGCCAATCATGGGCTTCCCCAGTTTTAAAAGTTTGATGTTACCAAATTTACTTAAAACATAAGAATGTGTCTTGAGGATAATAAGTTACGGAGATTGAGAATGGGGATTTAGCAGTAATCTTAAAGTCACGCCCAAGTCTCATAACCTAGCTATTCTTCAGAGTGAGGACTAGTAAGGCTACATGATGTGATCTTTCAAGTATCCTGAACATAAATTTATCTAAAAACACTGAACATTTATAGGTATAATTACTTACAAACCTGTGCTAAGAGCAATTGGTCGACAAAGTTTTGAGCACCATGTATTTGTATTCATTACACTAGCTATACAAAACATGATCTCGAACAATTTAACTATCCCATATGATCTCCTTCATGTATCAGTTAATTATATATCTTATTCGTTGAATTCAAAATAATTCCTTGTCTCCAATTTCCCCATTGTAATCGGTTCATGCGTATTGAAAGGAAGAGTTATACCCTGGGCAAGAACCTAAGAATCAAAAAGGGTCACTACCTGCTCTGAAGCACACATTCTTTCTATCAAAAATGGTTACTGGTTGGTCTAAAATCAATCCATTCACATATTTATGCAAAATCCCAATTACCAGTCCAACGAGAAAACCAAATGACAAGTAAAATCAGAAAAAAAATATCAAACAAAATGGCCATTTCAAATTTGTCCAAAAACATTCAACCCCAGAAAGTGCTACCAATCCCATTCCTCAAGTTTCACAGTAAAAGCACATTCCTTTAAAACCCACATTGACCGTCTTTCCCACAATAAAATCTCACCAAACAAAACCCAATTGGGAAAATTCAAATGCACACAAAACTGAACTAAAAAACAAATGTAAAACAAATATATAAGTAAGAAGCAAACCTGAAAAAATGCAAGAAGTGCTATAATGCCATCAACCAGAGCAAGACTCACATTCACTCCCACCAACACCCTTGGAAAGCAAGACGCTTCTCTCAATCCAAACATCCTCTTCCAAACTCTCTCTCTCTCTCTCTCTCTCTCTCTCTCTCTCTCTCTCTCTCTCCCCTCAATAACCCACTCTTTCTCGCTCTAGATTAATTAAAAACTAGACAGTTAAGCAAAAGAGCAAGTCTAGGGACTGAGAAGCGTACGGACCCTTTGTGCCTTTGACGGTATCCTTCATGACAGATCTGTGCGCTGCTTCTGATGCAGCCTTGATTTCATCTTTTTGCGGTGTTGCCCCCACAACCCAACAACGAAATCTTCCAACTTCACAGACCAAAATCTTGGTGGTATTTGGAGTAATAACCTCCCGACGTCGAGGGTAAATCGGTAGTTTGGACCCACACGGTCTGAATCTCTCGCACGCGGGCGGCTTTGATTCTCCCATGAATGGTATCATTATCAACATATCATAATCATAATTTTTGCCCTTTTTGACTCCCACGGGTTTGACTTGGTATTTTAACCAATAACAAAAGAGGGCAGATTGTCTGCCCGCCCTTTTCCTTTCCCTTGTCTTTCTTATTCTTTTTTATCTGTGCGGTCACGGTTAAATCACGTCAATATTTTATACTAATTTTTTAATAAAGATAATAAAACAAAAGGTAATATGAATATAAAATGTTGACGTGACTTAACCGTGACCGTACAAATAGGAAATGATGGAAAGGCTATGAAAAAAAAAAGGACAGACAATCTACCTCTATAACAAAAAGGCTATAATTTCTTTTTCTTTTTCTTTTTTTTTAATTATTTTTTTTTTTGGTATGTAAAGTTTTGCTAAAGTAGGTTAGCTATAGCCTTCGTCTTCCCTTTTTTTTTATTTTAAAATATAATTTTCTTGAGGATTGATAATTACTTTTATATTTACGTTATTGTTCATTAGTTTTTTCATCACTGGCACATGTGGAAAGTCTTTTATTTATTACGACCGCTAAGCATATCCATTTTGTATTCCTATTATTCGCAGTTAAGTTAGAAATAATTTTCGCCATGTTGAGAAGCTTTTGTTCCTGCCTAACAATACGGTCATGCTAAAAAATATACTTATCAAAATGGAAGATGAGGAAGTTTCCAAAAAAAAAAATGGAAGATGAGGACCTTTTTTTTTATATAAACAAACGATATATTACACTATAGGGTTGATGGCGTATACTAAGCCTCGTAATGTTCAAGTAATAATGTAATTTAAATTCGCTTTTGGCGAGAATAGAAACTAAGACTTCTTCTTACATGTGAAGAGAAATACTACTAAACTATAATACTAAATCGCAAGATGAAGACCCAGTTGAACACAAACAAGTGTTAAACTATTCTAATTTCTAACAAATTGCTTGAACCAAGTAGATGAAAAGTCCACAGATTAAACAATTACATAGTCAAATAAAACCTCGAATGTAAAATTAAGATTGAGAGCACAGTTGACAAACTCTCCCTCGAAGCCTCCACCAGCCAATTGATTTTCGTTGTAACCCCCTACTTTGTCTACGTTTTCAATTCTTGGAGGTTGGATCCTTGACAATTTTCTTCATCTGTTCTTTATTTTCGGTTCTCATTTCTCTCCTCTTCTGCTAAACTGCTTCCATCTGCATGTTCTCGTCCTTCATCATAAATCTGCAACCGCAAGAAAGAAAGACATAACAATCCACTAATCTGAGAACGTCAAATTGTTTGATCAGTGGAAATGGAAAGAAAAAATAGTCTGGTGATTGGAACTGCCACTAATTTCGAAAGTGGAGTGCCCCCAACTGCATGCATGGACAATTGGGAGAACCGAAACAACAATCCCAAAACAAACTTGGAAGTTAAGCTAAAAAAGTCCAAACCAAACGGATATCAATACCGTGTGAATGATCTTAACTGAAACCATATATCGACAGAGTCACAGAACTTTGCAGAAGGTTGATATGTCTAAATAGCATTATCGTTACAAGTAAGTTTTTTTATCATTAATAACTTTGACACCATCTTATGGTCAATTATTTATTAGAGCATCTCAAAATTTGTTCATAAAATGATGTGGCCTTATCTCTTCGATTTTCCAAATTGGCAAACAAATTTAGTAAATAGATTTAGTAGCACTAATTTAACAAGAGTGTGTTATGTTCCTATCACACTATTTTTTTACATAAAACTACCTTAACAATGGGTCAAACTATAATCTCATACCTCATGTTTTAAACATTGCAATGTCATACCTCAACTTATGAATTCGTTACAATGTTATACCTCAATTAAGTTTTCTATCAATTTGGTTGTTAAATGATAACGTGGCTGGAGCGATACCCACTCCTTCGCCACATCATCATTTAACAGCCAAATTATTAATTTTTTTTTGTAAATTAATTAATTCATTCCAGTTGGCAAATGAGTGGGCCCCACTCCTGCTACGTCAACATTTAACAGCCAAATTAACAAAAAACTTAACAAATGTATAACATTACAACGAATTCATAAGTTGAGGTATAATAACATTGCAATGTTTAAAACATGAGGCATGAGATTGTGGTTCAACCCATAGTTGAGGTAGTTTTTTGTAATTTACTCTTTTTTTTTTTAATACAAGCAATATTACTAATGTAAATTACCCTAAGGAAAAGGGAGAATGTTTGAACTTAGGATGTGAGTTAAAGCATAAGACTCTCATCACCAAAACAATCCATCGCTTGCTTATATTAGGTTGTCATGCTATCATTGTATGAAAATTTTATCAGATTTCATCTATCTATAGATTTAATTAACTTTGATCTCAAAAATGTGGACGCACATCTAACGCACGACAATATTGTGATTGTATCTCTTTCGTAAAGACAAAAATTCCAACTTTTAATATAGGAGTTAATAAAGTATATAATATATTAACAATTAGTTAAGACATTACTCTCGCAAGCTAATGATTGAAAGTAAAAAAAAAAATCTTATTGAGGTTGAATTGTGAAACAGTAGCGCCATGTGACGAGTCTTTCTCTAAGGTGTGTGGCACCAACATATGCATTGCCAAATAACACATTAATTTAAGAGTAAAATGTCCAACTTCTGGTTAGAATAATATTGGAATACATCGAAAAAATATAGGGAACTTTAACGAAAAACTTCCGGTATTGTTCACTTTAACGAAAAATCACATTTTTACACTAAAAAGTTAATTTTGGTACTATTCATTTTATCTTTTATTTTTTGTCATTTTCATTAAAACTCAAAGTTTTCAAATTATTTTCATTAGTTTTCCTAAAAATAAAAGCTTTTAGGGGAAATGTTGGTAACAAACTAATATGACTATTTAATTGGAAATTAGTTAAAACCCAAAACAAAGAAAATTTGAAGAGATTTTTCAATGTGATCGGCACACAAGGTGGTACACCACGTGTCACTATACAAATGGTGGGATATATGTGTTAAAAATGTTAATACTTAAAAAATAAAATTTTCTACTACTTACATATAAATACGTGGTGTAACACTCGTGTTCCCGTCACAATTAAAATTTTCTCTAAAACAGGGGGGAGAGGACAATTTGAAAAACATATCTAGTTGGTCAACAGCATTGAATGACCGAAGATGCGGTTTTTCATCCTATATAAGCACAAGAATTGTAAGGAAAAACAAACCAAGCAAACCTTTTTACAAGCCAATTACCAAGAAAAACAATTCTTTCATCATTTTCCAAATGGCCATGGAGGGAAAGCAAACTAGAGGTAGGCAAAAGATTGAGATGAAGAGGATCGAAAACGAAGAGGATCTTCTCGTTTCTTTCTCGAAACGGAGATCCGGCGTCTACAAAAAAGCTAGCGAGATGATAACACTATGTGGCGGTGAGGTGGGAATTGTGGTTTTCTCACCATCTGGCAAGCCTTTCTCATATGGTCATCCATCTGTCGACAATGTCATCAATCGGTTTCTGGACCAAAATCCACCCGAAAACGATGACTACACTATTCAGTTCATGGAGGCTCATCGACAGACGAGAATTTCTGAGGCTATCGAACAGTACGACGAGCTTATCAACCAGTTAGAAGATGTGCGGGAGCGACAGAAATCGCTCCTAAGGAAAGCCAGGAGAAGGAGGAATCGAGAGCACCTGTGGTGGAGTGCACCCCTTGATGAGCTTGGGGTGGATGAGCTCAAACAAGTCTATGCATCCTCGGCGGAGCTACACATGACAATCTCCAACCATCTTAAGGAGAGGAGTACTAATATTTTTGGTGCCTCCTCTTCTGGATCTGTCCAACAAACCAATCTCAACTTTTATGCAAATCCAAGTGGGACTGGTTCTTATGCATTTCCTCCTGGCTACGGCCATTAATTTTGAAAAACCCTCCTTAAAGCTAGCTAGGGTTTTTCAAAGTAGGACACATGAGTGGGTTATTTTACTAAATCCAAATGCCCCCTTTATTACTTAGTAATTTCAATTGTTGCGCCCACATGAGTTTATGTAGATTTACTTTTTGTTTAATTATAATTATTACTTGCATTTTAATTCAGTTATATGAGTAATTGAACCAGGAGTAGAAGTTTCTTGATCATATTTCAACATAATCAAAATTAAATGACTAATGTATGTATTTGACATTTGTGACTTGTGCTCATAAGCGGTCTTGCTAAACATATTTTTATTGGAGACAAGTGTTGTAATTTTTATAAAAAATTCAAGAGGATACATTTTTTCAAAAAAATTTGATATGCCTTTTGCCATAAAGCATCTCATCACATGTGTTTTTCCAAAAAACGCTTGCATGATCCATAAGCACTGTAATTATCAAGAAAAATCTCTTTTGGAGAAATAGTCACAAACAGGCCATCATGCAGACATGATGCGTGTAAGGAGTAAATACTTATTTGTTGCATATATAGTCCAGTAAATACCAATTTGTTGCATAAATAATGTCAAATATGCTTCTATTGTTTTTAGAATAATTTTAGCTAGATACACAAAAGTTACATACTTATTGTCCATACCATTTATGTGGATATCCACATATCAACAAATATATTTATTTTGTGTATTTAAATAGAATTAGCGTTAAAAGCCAAGCCACCACCACCAATTACATAATATCGATCTTGTTTCCACTGGTTTCTAATTATGTGCCCTCTTTTCCCTTGACTTCAACACATGCAATCGATGATCTCATGTCACTCTAGTTTCAAGGGCATCACTTCCGATGTTTGGGATCCGTGTTTGAAGTTTTATACAAAGAAGAAATTCATAAAATTTTAGAATAGATGAATTAGAAAATGCACGTATAAGCATTACAAAATAATGTATAGAGATTTATAAATGACTCTTTCAAGCAATCATTTCCAAATTCTTCTATCATACTTTTTGTAATATGTAGTGTATTTTAATTCCTCTTGTTAAACTTTTTTCTGACCCATTTCATCTTTATTTACATAAATGCCTTGAAATTCGAAAATATTTCACCGAACGTACCCATCATGGTTCATGGTCTAATTTCTAGGCTCTCAAGTGACATTTTCTCTTATCAAATAATTTGGTAGCACATGAAACAGAAATATATATTGTAAACGTGATTGGTCCCCACGTGACTTATTAGGTTTACCAAAATATGTACTTTAAAACACATTGCAATCTCATCTGACCAACTAGAGAAAGCACCACTATTTTTTTTTTTTAACAACCAATATTAGTGGAGGGGAAACTGAACTCAAGACCTTTAGCCCAACAAATTAAGTTACAAATCTTTTGCAGTTAGATTATTTAGTTGATAAAAAGTAAGTTTCTAAGATGAAACATGAGATCAACCAGTAATACAGTACAGCCAAGTGACATTCCTTTTACTTTGATCCATTGGGTGCTTAATCCTAACCTTCACTTCTAATATCATTTTATAAAGAATAAAATGAAAATATTAAACAGAGATGTTTATTTACAAAATTAAAATAAAACACCTGCCAAAAACTATAAGACAGTCAAGGAAATATCATTTAAGGAAAAACATCGTTGGCAATTAAAGAATGGTAAGTTAATTGTAATTGGTAACCATGTTCATTGGACTTTCCCCTTGCCAGTTTAGAGGCCACGCGTTATCACACTATCCATGGACCTAACAAATTTATTACTTTGTGATAATTTTCACTCTTTTTGACTTTTTACACCTATTTTTTAATTTATGGCTCTTGAATTAGATAAATTAAATGAAAACAACGGACCTAATACAACAAAATTACGTGAATTTTTTTAAAAATTGTGCGTTTATCGTGTCCGTCATTGAAAAAATTCACATCTCATTTTCCTTTTTAAGTTATAACTGCCATTTATATTGGAAAACTCAAACAATTGGATAGCTACAAAAAGAGAGCTTACCTAATTTGTAATCCAAATTTTTTTTCCTCATTCAATTCCAGAATATGGAGTGCAAAATTTGAATTCAATGATGCCAACCCAAAGTGGCAATATGGAAATTTTCAAAAAGAAAAAGGAAAGATAATATAAAATTTAATATCTTTCTATATCAGCAATTTTCTCATAAAATTAAGGGCTAAAAACCAATATTAGAAACATTGAATCATTACTTGGGGTACTTATATCTCAAGCCCTATATATACTCCTTCACTTACATCAACTTCCCCATAAATTTTTCAATAAAAATCCCCTCCCCCCCCCCCCCCCCAAAAAAAAAAACATTAGCCATGGGGAGGAGAAAAATTGAGATGAAAGTGGTGGAGGATAGCAGCTCTAGGCAGGTGACCTTCTCCAAGCGCAGGAGTGGCGTGTTCAAGAAAGCAAACGAGCTCGCCATCCTGTGCGGCGCTGAGATTGCCGTCCTTGTTTTCTCTCCGGGAGGTAAGCCCTTCTCGTTTGGGCACCCGAATGTGGAGTCTATCGCAGATAGGTTTCTAAATGAGGAGTGCCCTAAATCAAAATTTAGGGTTTCAAAGAATGATGAAAAAGCGGGGAGGCTTAACCAGCAACTGGAGGACATGGACAGCCAGTTGGAGGCTGAGAAGAAAAGAGGACTTGTGCTTGACAAGGCTGTACTGAAAGCAAGGGGTTTGCCACTCAAAAGCAAACCGCCGAGCTTTCGTGAGCTGAGCCGGGCAGATCTTCGAAAAATGAAGGCGTCGCTGGAGGCGCTGCGCGAGACCGTGAAAGAAAGAGCCAGTGAGGTGGAGGCATCGTCTTCGCTACTGCTCCTGGCAAATGACAGGAGAGACTGATATGACTACTGTTGCTAAAAATGACAGACCTTAATTAGGTAAACTGTAGGGAATGAATGTCTTTCTGCGCTTGTGTGATGCTGGTGTTAGGTAGATTAATTTTGCTTGTACCTGAGATGGAATTTCCTAATATGTGAAATGGGGGGAAGGACATATGTGGTTGCTTATATATTATATCATTTTCAATTGTCTGTTGGAAGAAATGTTTTGTGTGCTTCTATTGTTGGGTTGTGTCGTGGGTGTCAGATATTTAAAGAGACGGATCATTCATTCACTTCTAATTATACTGATATTGTCTCAATTTAATGACTTATTCTTAAGTATTGAGTTTTACCAAAAAGTCTTCGGTGTTATTAGAAGTAAAACCATACACTCATATATTGTATTTTATTTTCTCAATTCCTTGATGTGAGACTTATATTTAACTTGTCCCCTTACGTGAGATCACTACATAGTGGTCACACGTGCAACCAATCTCACATCGGACATTAAGCACGAAAGCATGGTGTTACATTAAACCTAGTAACTCGAGCACGACATGGACCCACAAGACCCACAATCAAACCCGCTTTGATACCATGTCGGATATTTAGAGAGACGAGTCATTGACTCACTCCTAACCACACCAATAGTGTCCTAACTTATTTACTATTGCTATGTATAGTACTTTTCAACAAAAGGTCTTGGTGTTATTAAGAGTGAAACCATAATCTTATATATTATATTTTATTTTCTCTATATTTTGATATTGGACTTACTCATTTAGTGACATATCATTTAGTTTGTAAATTTAATCTCCTTAACATTATTTATACGAGAAATTATTAACTACTACAGTATCACCACGTGGATGTGATACTTTGACATGTGTAATTTATTTTTACACTTGGATTTGAAATTCATTTTGTCTCTTTCAAAAAATTAAATTAAGAAATAAAAAAAAAACTGAAAATAGAGTAAAAAACCTGCCTCTGGACACCGGACTCTCCATCTCTTTTCCTTCCTCTCTCTCCTCCTGCTCTTTGTCTCCCCCTGTTTATCTTTTTCTTTCTATGTAAATTTTAATCTCAATTGAGAAAAGATTGATGCCTATAAAATTATTTTTATAAACAGAGTTGGCGACCTTCGGGGTCTTACCCCTAACCTTCCCGGCACGTGCAAGCGACCAGTGAACCAAACCAAGGCTGATTGCAGATGCTGCTGCTATTTGCCGGCGGAGAGACTGAGGATGAGGGAAGCCTATGTGTGTGTCTGTTTATCGCTGTCAGATTTTGAATGGAAGTATCACAAGTGACGTGGTACTATTGTACCGTACTATAATTTCTTCATAAATATGTGTTGTCTGCATAATAAGCAGACGCAAAGTCTGAATAAAAAAATAGTAGTGCGTAAATCTTTATGCCTATAGCACTCATCATTTGATAAGAGCTCGTGATGAGTTTTCTTACAAGACTCATAAGCCCGGGTGTATGTAAATTAGTTGTATACTTACCGGAGATTAATGGCATTAAAACTCTCCTAGTAATGGTTTGGACATATATATTTGAGAGAATATATATAATTGTGGGATATATATATACACATACACATACCCTTACATTCCAACCACGAACAAGAGATACTTTTGTATGTTTCACTTTGTAATGTATTTTAATTATTTAAGCCATTTTTGTTTTGGTTAAGCTAATTATTTAAACATATAGTTTTTAGTTCTTCCTCACATATATTAAGGAAATTGGGCTTAGTGGCCCTTTTACAAATCCATCAACCAAAGATAATCCTGCTGTAAAAATGCAGCCTTTCCTAGCCCTCTTTGACAAAAATATCTTTAATTAAATTAGTATATTATTGACATAATATTAATACATTCACGACACAATATTGGTAGATAGCTTATTGACACAATATCGAATGTTTTCATCGAAGACGAATAGTAAAGATTGCATGTTGAAAGCAGGACTATTTTTTGTTGGTGTATTTGTAAAAGGACTAGTAAGCTTAATTTTCCTATATATAATAGTTGCAAAATATTAATAAAAATTTTACTATTAGGCCAGTGGTGCTCTCAAATTTGAATCTTTCTATCCATAGCTTAGTCTAATTTAATTAGATATCAATAAACAAAAGACTTTATATATAAAAAAGATATGGATCATCCATGTAAATGGTGAAAACATTGAAAAATAAAAAGATACCTAGTAGCTTTGTATCTCGAAAAGCAAGTATATAATGAATAGTAAATCAAAATAAAGATAGACTTAAATATAAACTCTTAATTGATACCTTAATCTAGAAAAGAACATGCATGGTACGGATGATAATGTGGTGTCTTATGTGTTTGAAAAATTAGAGAAATATATGGAGAGGAGGTGGGGTGAAGTCCTTATCGGAGAAAATCTTTAATTTTGGTTAAATATCAGTGAAACTCTTATACTTCTTCTAAACTAGTGTTGACATTCCCTAAATTTTCATTTTAAGTTTCCAAGTTTTTTAGCAAACTTCCATCATTTCCATCAAATGCAACTGATATCAATTTTATCGATATTTCTACAAATTTATATACCAATATTTTTACTGATACCAATATTTTTACCATACTAATATTTTAAAAACTGGGTGTCTTAGGCTTGGTTTGGTACTGAGGTGATTTTGAAAAAAAAAGCTGGTATAAAAAAAAGCTGGGAGCTATTTTTGTGTTTGGTAAACATTCAGCTTCAGCTTTTTTTCACAGTTTTGGGTGAAAAAAGCCAAAAACAAGAAGCTGCAAAACCCAGCTTTGAAAAACCGACTTTTTCACATCTGTTTTACATAAAAGTTTACCAAACACTATAATACTGCTTTTTTTTTCAAAAGCATTTTTACAAAACAATTTACCAAATACTCTGTTGCTTTATTTCACAGCTGTTTATTCTCACAACACAGCACAAACAACTTTTTTTCAAAGCACAGCAATACCAAACCAACCCTTAGACACTGGGAGACCAAAGCCTACAAAGGCAAATGAAACGTACATGTGGAGCTACCTAAATTGTGGGAACTATAACAAATAATTCAAAATATAAACGGAATTGCAGGCATATGAGCAGACGATAGATGAAATAGACATGGAATACTCGGAATATTTTGTTGTTGAAACTTTTGGCAAAACAGAGTAAGCATTTCTTATATGTCCTGGAGTTCCAATGGGATGGACAAACTAGCTAGCTATCTATTTCCTGACTTCATTTTTTATAGATATTTTGGACTACACTCTTCATTTGTTTATTTTGGAGCATCTAAATAATATACAAATTAACTACTGCTAGCCTGTTATTATATTGCTGATCTCCTGGATTAGCTAGCTAGGAGAACAAGTTAGGCAGCATGGTATTAGTGGTTAGCTACTTTTCTTTTATGATACGACCACATATTTACATTAACAGGTAAGATATTCAAGCTAAATGTATCAATTATTAGTATCAAACTCTTCATTTACGAGAGTCGAATCTAATATTATGTGACATGTGTCACTATTTATTAAGAGTATGGATCTCACATCGGAGAAAAAAAAAGTCTTACATGTGCTTATAAATAATTGAACTATACTCATATTGTCAATTAGTTTTATAATAGAACATCAACTTTCTTCGTTAACTAAAGATTAAGCAAAATAAGAATCTTTCATGCCCAAAAACTTCATAATTAAGCTCAAGTTTATCTAAATCCTCTCACATCTAGCTAAAAATCATTGAAGGGAATTTCAAATACCATGGCTGTGAAATTCCCTTGCTTTTTCACTTTCGGGAGTATAAGATCCCAAGAGAATAATATGGCTAGCTAGTTAAGCTATCTACTTCATGTATGACAGTATGTGTGATGTGTCGCCCAAGTAATTTGTTTCCTACTCCACCGTCCCAATTACTTTAGAACGAACTGAATGGAGTTCCATACATGCCAATTGTCAATTGTGTACGTAATTCTGTCTGCTTTTCCCTTCTTTTTCTAAAAAATTAGTTCTGGCAATTTCTTGTACTACTTGTTAATTCGACACGAAATACCACAACCTATTAACGAGTCACCTATTAAAAACTCATTAAAATAACGAGTATGACATGAACACAATAAACAAGATTCGTTTACCAGGCCTATATAAAACATCGCCATCAAATTTTTTGAGTTAAACTAATTTTCAGAAATTAACTTTCAATTGCATTTGGTTGTTTTACAAACAATAGGAGAATGTATTTTAAATTCATCTAATCTACGGAAAAGAGAATCGAATGTGAGTACAAAGAGGTAAGCACATTGCTCTGTCCAACTTAGCTAAGTCAATAACTTCTTTCTTCTATCGCATTTGGAGAGAGTCCACTTTCACAAAAAGGTGAACTCATGTGCTATATTGAAAGTTATATTTACGTGAAATGGTACCCAAATTGTTACCCTACTCAATTTTTTCTTAATTACATTAAAAATGAATATTGAAGTTATTTTCCTTTTATTTCCCTTTTCTTTAATGCACTCAAATTTTCTGTCCCCGACTATGTTTTCTCTCTTTTCACACCTTACTCATCTACGTTGGTTTGTAATTGCGGTTTTTTTCTTCGTTACGGATTCAGCTACAATATTTATATGTATTCAATCTAATTACTATCTGACCTTCAAATAATGATTGTATTCAATTTATGTAAATGTTGTAGCCAATTCCTTCATGTATACGGTAGAAATTATAATGAAATCGTAATCCTTGTACTTTTATACACGGAGAGGAGCTAAGACATTAAAAAAAAATTACAGGACATAGTATATTGCCATGCGGCGTTTCGTATGAAATTATAATGTGTAGACAAAATTTTTTGCATATTTTATTGACACTGGATAACATTGTGACGGTGTACCGTTATGGTGACGTTGCTCATCTTTTCACAACTTTATTAAAGAAAAAAAGTAAAAAAGAAGAAGAAAAAAAAAAAAAGCCACCAAGAAACAGCTCATCATATATTAGTCCAGGGTTCCTTGGAGTGGAATGAAGACATTTCCTAAGATTGGTCTTGATTGTATAATTTTCTACTGGAGGCACCCATACAACTCATAATTCCACTCCCCCACGTCTTCTACTCCCCTTGACCGTCAAAACGCGGAGCAATTCAGTCATCGCTTACCCCACACCCCATCAACTTTCCCAAAACACCCTTTCCTCGCCGCAAAATTCCCTCAATCTCCCTACCTTCTAGAGAACTTGCCTTCTAAGAAACCGAATATTTCCCCACCCCAGATAAAACCACCACATCCCCCAAACCAAAAAACCAGAAAGGAGAAGGCAGAGAAGGGCGGAAATCTAGAGAGAGAGAGTGAAACAGAAGATGGCGGGTGGGGGAAAGAAGAGGTGGTTGTTCTTTAAGAGGATGAAGAAAGAGTCGTGGAGTTTGAGGTGGAAGTATTTGGGGTCTGCCTTCAAGTTCCGGCCGCTGAATCTGCAGCTTTCCTTTTACGATGATGTGGTTTTCAAGATCGTGGCGGCGTTCGAGGCCGTGGTTTTGCTGCTCAGAATCTGTTTCTTCTACTTGTTTTGCGGATGCCATTTTTGAGAGGATTTTGGTGTTCTTCCGACTCTCTTTGTACTTGGTTTTCTATGTTGCTTCAAGAAGGGTATAGTTGACAGATCAAGTTGCTGGCTAAATGGATTAAGGTTTTTTTTTTTCTTTTTCTGGGAAGGATATTGGTTCTGTCATGCTGGCGTTGCTAATATGCTTATTATGTTTATGTACAATGTTAATGATCAGTTAACTCTTTGTTTTCTTCATGAATTCTGACTTCGTTTTCTGCAATTTAATTCAGGAAATTCGTTTTGTCATTCTGCAAAGTTACTTTGAATTGTACATATTTAATGTCATTGCCTACTCTATTGGAGAAATTCTTGACTACGGATGTCGGTGCCACTTTTATTTATCTACACATATCTATGTATTATTAGCATAGAACGTTACTCGGATGATATTATTATATGTTAGAATTTTTTTATATACATTGCAAGGGTAAGATTAAACGCAGGACTTCGTATGTAAAGTTAAACACTTTTAATTCTTTGAGCTACAAGCCGTTGCCGCATTTTAGTTTGAACAGAATGAATCTTCTAAAACCAAATTAGCAAACCAAGAGTGTTTTATTAATTTTATCTTGGAAGATACAAGGGTATTATATGTAATTTTACATATGATAAGGGATAGAAATATTGGAGTGTCACGTTCTCCTCTTCTTTTTTATGGTAATTTTCCCTGTCAACTTGGTAATATCTTCTCCAGGCTCCATCTATCGTTTAAAGAGTAATATTATATTTATCTCCTATTTGTATTATCTTTCTAATAGAGGTAAGAGCATCTTCAAAGAAGATGTCAAAATGTACATATCAGTTATAACAGCAAAAAAAAATCAGATTAATATTCTCCAACCAAAATGTTAAATCCTATGTGGCGATGACATGGATTGACAACAAAAGAGGTTTGACAACAGCTTCAAATGTTTTTTATTAATTTTTAATTAGTTTAATAAGTTATTATAATTAATGTTGAGTCGACCGATCCAATTATCCTACTTTTTTTTTCTTTTTAATCAAGGAAGGTGAACAGATTACTGATTAAACTTTAAATGTCATTTATTAAATTTTAATTAGTTTAATAATTTATTTTATAAAATAATAAAATAATAATTTAATTTGACATATCGGTTGGAGAAAAAAACTTTAAAAGATGTCAAAGTGCCACATAAACTATCAAAATTTAAATTTTATGTTCAAAATTTGACATTTCATTTGGAGATGGTCTAAGGCCCACCAATGTATGTGGTTTTTATCTCTATAAATACAAATAATGATACAACATATGTAGGCTTTTTAGCTAAAATTATTACTGAGATTGATTTAACTTCTCACTTTAGAACTTAACATTGAAAATTTATAGAAGTGGTACTTAACATTGAAAATTTATAGAAGTGGTATTCTGAGTTTGTCTATCATAAATCATTTGGTTATTCTGTGAAAACACTTTCAATATCCTCGTTAAGTAGAGATGTTGGTTTGACAAAAATACTCTTATAAAGGTGGTCACGTGATCGTTCACATGACTATTTAACAACAATATTGACAAATTTTTCACGGAATGAGTAGTAAACAAACTCAAGAATCACATCTATCAGTTTTCATTGCCAAGGCTAAAAAGCTAAATAAGTATAAATAATTACATAGCATAGTATTTATGTTGAGGTGGCAGCCAAATTATCTTCTTCTGAAACATTTTATCTGCCACTGCCAAACCTCTCTTATCCCTTTCCCTCCAACTTCTACCCCCTGAAAACCTACAGCCAGAGTAGAGATGCAGGCCTCAATCTGCCTACAAACTTCACCACCCTCTCTATCCAGTTTCAGACCTACCCACCACAACCCTCTTCTGGGTAACTCTCTGCCTTCAAGGCCATGTTTGGCTCTCAAAAAAAGAGCCACTTTAACCACAAAAGCACTTCTGTCAGCTACCAAGGAATCAGTCCTCAGGGACTTTCATGAACGCAGAGCTCTCAAGGTAAAGCGAATCCTACTTCCCGTTGACTGTACCGTGGCATTATTATCGTGTTTTGCTTTGTTTGGTTGCTGGGGAACGTGGAGAAGCTAAAAAGAAAAATACTTTTCGGTTCTGCAATTTAATAACCATGTCTTGATATCCAAGAATTCTGATGTTACTGTGTTTTTTCAGATTATTTCAGGATTGCAGAATTTTGACAAAGAAAATGTTGCATCAGTCGTTACTGCCGCTGAGCAGGTTTGTTTCTTACTCCGTTTATAGATGAAGTTATGAACTAATGATGAACTCGCTAAACAAAAACAGATTATGTTTTTGAACCAAGGGATTTGAATATGTTAGACCACATTGATTGTGGTGTCAAATATCATCGAATTTCCGAGCAAATGTTGAACTTTTTATGTCATGTTGTCATGTGTCATTGTATCTATAGGGAGGAGCAACTCATGTGGATATAGCCTGTGACCCGGAGTTGGTGAAGCTTGCTATCGATTTAACTTCTCTTCCGGTATTTTCATATGCTTTCTAAGCGTATCGTGATCATCATTTTCCAACCGTAGGTTGCATGTATAAGGATGTCTTCCTTGTGCAGGTTTGTGTTTCTTCTGTGGATCCAGCGGCATTTCCAGCTGCGGTTGAAGCAGGAGCACTGATGGTTCGACTACAAACTAACCCCTTTCGTACCATACATTTCAGGCCAAGAATTTGATTATGTGACCTGGTTCCCTCCGAGGGACTGCTAAATCGTTTCAGAACAATATTGCTATGCGCTTTTCGGTTTGTGTTGATATGATCAATTTGATGGCTTTTGCAGGTTGAGATTGGAAACTATGACTCCTTTTACGAGATGGGAGTGGTTTTCACTTCGGAGCAGGTGGTACCACATTTGTTACCTTGCAAATTACGAAAAACATAGCGCTATAAGTGTACTAATCGGATTCTCTTGTTGTATTCTGTTGAGTTCCTTTGCAGATTTTGAATCTGACAAAGGAGACCAAGAGGATTCTTCCATCTGTGACCTTATCAGTCACTGTACCTCATACACTAAGCCTTCCAGATCAGGTCGGAATCATTGCTGAAAGTGACTATCGATGCGTGTTGGTACGATGTATTTGGTTTAACCAAGGTAGTTGAATCAATGTACAGGTCAAGCTTGCAGAGATGCTGGAGCAGGAAGGTGTTGACATCATTCAAACCGAAGGAGGAAAATGTACTAGTCCTTCGAAATCAGGTGTTCTTGGTTTGGTCGAGAAGGTAATACGAGTTAACCTACACATACCTTAACTGTTACGAGTTATCCAATCTAATCTTAGGCTCCAGACGAGCCTGAGTAGACCAAACGAGAATATAAAACAAGAACTTGGGATTGAACACATGCAACCAGTTTTATTCCAGGACACATTTGATGATAGTATTTCATGTTTTAGGCAACACCAACATTGGCAGCAGCATATTCGATATCCCGTGCTGTCAAGATTCCGGTAATGTGTTCATCCGGACTGAGTGCAGTTACAGCCCCAATGGCAATAGCAGCAGGAGCTGCTGGTGTGGTATGTAAACCATGAACCTGCTTCTGTAACATGCACATTTCATCAAAAGCTTACTTGTTGACCCTCTCAAACTCAACGCGAATCTCACTTTAACCCTCTGAAACTGAATTCGTGATACTTTGCGCCTGATAAGCGTACTTCCCGTCTCACTTTGCCCTGCCGTCCAAATCCGTCAACACTGAAGTATGTTGTCTAGCTATTTTTGTGTGGTTAACTTACTGGTTGTTTCATCATTTTCGGATGTAGGGCATCGGCTCAGCCGTGAACAAGCTCAATGATGTGGTTGCAATGATTGCAGAAGTGAGGAGTATTTCCAATTCATTAGGAGCTTCAGCTGGTAGGCTCACTGCAGCTGAAGAACAAGTTTTGAAACTGTAATCCAGTAATCATATAGCGCAGCAATATACATACATTGTTGGCAACAATATCCAAATAAATAAGAGCAGCAGTTTTCTTTCAGATTTCTGGGTCTTGTTTTCCTTGGCAGCATAAACTGAACTTCACAGAACAAGAACGATTTGGACCCGAGCATCGGGTGCAAGAACATTTTTTGTTCAACCAGATTGCCCTCGACGAATCTTATTCTGCGCAAGAATTGAAAGAAGTTCTCGCCAACTACACTAACAAATCAACAGAAAGAGAGGAAAAGAAGTTATATATTCTCGAAAACTGTTAGGAATCAAGAACATGACGCGACAATGAGTGTATTCGATACAATTGCCCGGTGACAGCTAAAACTAGAAGTTCCTAGTAAGGTTTAGACTTGTCATCTTCCACTAAATAAAGTACATACCCAATTCACCACTAAATTCGAATTGTGAACAGATATGGACAAGAATGATACAGGCATAGACAGTTTTACAAAAGACACATGACCAGGACCTATGACTTGCATACAACTAGAGTACTTCCACCATACGGAAACATGATTTCTTAGACAGACCAATCTTCCTCTTCCTCATCCTCGGTTTCTTCATCCTCGCCACTTTCCTGCAAATGTTCGAAATCTGCTTAGTAAATTGCAATTCAGCACCACTCGGCATTGCTTGTAAGATAAGGTTCTGCTTATTAACTATAAAGATCATTCAAAGCATGTTTACCTTTCTTTGTGCATATTCTGCCATGGCCTTCTCAAACTCAGCTCGTTTCTCCGTGGCTATATCATAATACTGAACCTTTTCCTAATATAAGAAGAAAGAGAGAGTAAAGAACGAAGAACAAAATTCTATAAGCTATTTTTGGCCAAATCACCATTGTTAGGGAAACTAGTAAACAGTCAAAAAGCTAAAATATTATTTGAAGCTTCATGCCACTAGATGATCAACAAGTAAGATAGTCCAAATGGTGAGAACCACGCACAGTCATTAGGAAAGAACCGTTGCATGATTCAGCCAGTATCACTTAGCTGTAAATCTCACGAACCCAAGGCGGGTCAGTATTTAAGCGAGATGAGATCCACTATAGTAATTAGCTTAAGTAAAAAAAGACAACTGCATACACATCAAACAAGTCCATACTGGTAAATGGGTCATATATTTTAACCAAAACTATAGGTCAGAACATTAGGTTAAATAGAACCCACGATTTGAAAGTCATACTTCATCCGGTCGTCAATACAGAATTTTAGAGAAAGTAAAGCAAAAATATAATGAAAACATAAAAGGCCAACTAAAGTATAAAGAGACCACAAACCTCATATGTCATTGTTTTCCACTTCTCTCCACACACCTTTCCAATCTGAATCAGAAAGTATATTCATATACAAGAGAACTGATGATATGAGCAACAATGAAAAACATGCAAAAAGTTAAACGGATTACCGTATCATAAACTTACTTCGCGCATTTGCTTGATACCTGGATTTTGCTCTTGAAGTTCCTTACGATAATCCTCCCTTAAACACAAGAAAAACCAGTTTAACTCAGCAAAACCTCAAGATGTTTATGGTTGGTTCTTCATATATGAGAAAGGTGCTCAGAGTGAGCTTGATAAATAGCGTTCTCATTGAGGCATACATTATAATTAATCACAAAAAAAATAAAGAACAACAAAGAACCAGCTTTGGTTAATCTGACCTTACACTGACAAAATAACTGTAGTGAGAAGTAAGGGAAATTCAATTTGAAAACGAAGAAACCGTGGATTTATTTTTTCAGATTGAAGTACCAATGAAAATAAAACAAAGAATACTGAACAAGAATGAGGGGACTAATACTTAGAAAACTTCACCGAAAATTTTCTATGGAAAGTTACAACTATTGAATTTCAGAAATTGACTGAAACCTTGTAGATTTGATAAATAACTTAATATCAATTTTCATCATCAGTCGTGATTATGGTTCTGGTTCTTAGTATTCATATTATGGATAGTTGAGAGATCTTCAGTTTCTATATCTTTCGTTATTAGAGGGGGCAAATTCCAAATTTGAGGCCATGGGGTGATTGAGGTTGGTCAGTCTCATTATCTGGATACTCAATTTCAGCAATCCAAAAGGATGACGTGTTCTTGCAGGACTAAGACAATCAAACAACAAAATCATTGAGCAAGTTGGAAATTTAATCAGTTACAGCAAGTTGACAATCAAACATGTGTAATAAACATAAATGAAAAGCTAAACAGGAACGAAAAGAGGTACATACAGGAAATAGAAGAAAGCAGTTGGCGGTTTCTTGGGTATCTTGGAATCAACTTTTGCACTTTTCTTCTTCTGCTTGGTTTTGGACTTCTTTACTGAAACGATTCTCTTTCCCTCCGCGTTTACACTGCTTAACCTTGTTGACCTCCTTGTCCCCTCACTTTGTTGGACCTTCAACACCATTTCCCTAAAAAGATTGAAGAATTTCTTTCAACGACCACCGATGCCTCGGCCGGGAATAAAAGGAATGAAACAAACAATTCAACCGTCAATGTCACACCATCAAAAGCACAACAGACCTAAAAACCCTCCATCGAGTCCAGCCTCTCACGATCACTAAACATTTTCTTGAAAGTGAAACTCAGAGCCACACAAGTTACACAACTCATAACCCTGAAAAGCTCCTTCCCTTCCTAGTTCTTCTATTTCCTCTTTTTCTTTTCTATCACCCAATTCCTCAGCAAGCAGCCTGAGAGTAAGTATACACTGTATACGCTAAGCATTGCTCGAAATTCAAAAGGGTACAAAGCTAAAGAATAACCGAACGAAATTAGAAGTAATAAAATCACCAATTTCCAATTTCTCAAATTTAAACTAACAGAACAAACCCCACCACCCAACTGAGCTTAACCTAGCTTCTTGTCCAAGACTCCAAGTACGGAGTTCCCCACATTCTTCAACACAAAACAACACAACCCAATTAACCAAATAGCAGAAAGTAACGATCTTTGCTTTCTTTTTCCATTTTATTTTATTCTATCATTTCATGGGTTTTTTCAAAAACCCAACAAAAATTCAGAAAGCATTGAACGAACAGCGATGAACATGTGGTGAGAAAAGAGATAAAGTAGAGGAAAATTACCCAGTTGAAGCTTTTGTGGCGGAGGAAGAAGACGAGGGAGACTGCTGGGAGTTGCTAGTTTTCTTTGCCATGTTTCTTCGCTTCGGGGCTTTTGGCGTCGGTCGTGGAATCGGGTCGGGTGAGTGGGTTGGTGTGGGAAGTGGGCAGGCACAGTGACGACTGATGATTAGACCGTGGCGAGCACTCTGAGAGGACGACGACGTTTTGGCGGGGTACGGTGGTTGATGTGACGGCTTAACGAGTGATAGTCTCACCAGGAAGTTGGGCTGTGTGGTTTAATCAGGCCCAAGGTAACTAGGCTGGGCCCAATTTCTACCGTCAAACATTAAAATCACAATAAAACAAAAATTAGAAATCACTGAAACGGAGCATTTTTTAAATAAACGATATTATAAGGGGGAATGGTGGATTTAGTCTCATAATTGGTTAGCATTAATGTGGTTACGTCTTTAGCGATAATCGAACTTAATACATTTCACTTACAAGTGAAGAGGAATCCTACCAAACCGTAATACCCAATGGCATAAATATTTCAATTTAATCATGTCTGTTTCAATTTTTCGCACAACAATTTATGATAGCTTAAAATTCAAAACTCATTGGACGATAATTATATATAAACTGGAAAAGGATTTTGTTTTTCTGTCTTTGATTTTGTAGGTAAAATCAAAACTTAACTTGTTTTGTAAATTATTTGGTTGACGGCAACAAACAATACAAGCCAATTTCTTCTTAATCATATGTGAACACAAATAATACTAAAATAAATACTTAGGTTTAGGAATCGGATTGACTTAATTTTAACACAATATCCCTGTTATGAAAAACTAAAAATAATATCCATGAAATAAAAACAGTCTTCTAATATAATCTCATAAAATACCAATTATCTTGAAGAACTTTGTATGTATGCCTTCTTTTTTACATATTTATGATCAACGATCAATTTGTTGGATACATTTGATTGATTAAACGATCTTCAATTGAATGATTTTATTTTTATCAGAATAATCTTCAAATTCATGATGTTCGACTTTATTTAATTAAGATATTTTATTCACAAATGAAAAAAAGTAATATTATTCTTACCATAATTTTATATCACATTTTTTTACCATCTTAGGTGGCAAATGAGTTGGATAAGCTATATCATTTAATTTCAATTTTCTTATTAATTAAAACACTTAAATAAGGAAAATTGCACACTTCAAAATCTCCCTCTGATGTTAGTAACTTAATTGGGTATGAACCTTAATCCGATAGACAAATTTGATTATGACTCATAATTCACATGAAAGCTACTAGGCATTACTAAATGAAATAATTAGGTGAAATCATTCTTTTAAACCACAAAAAAAAATGTATGAAAAGAAAACAAAAAAAATCACGAGATGAACAACTACGGAGTACCAATGAAGATTGGAGATAGAAATACTTGTAGGGGAATGAGGATTGGGGCTACGGGGCATGAGGTTGGAGATAGAAATCAATGGTGATTGTGATATACAAGTAAATTCTATAAAGCTTGACCATAATCATGGAAATCAACATAAATCAATAAAAAAACTGGCGTGAAAAAGAAAAGGAAAGGAAGAAGAAGCATAAGGGATAGGGAAAGGAAGAACAAGACTCTCGTACACGACAATCATCATTTAATTAGCAATTTTTTTATTAATTATTGATTAACAGTTTGAAATTAAATGCTAATTCATTTAGATGATGTGGTTATCTATATCAGATACCACCTAAAATGATATACAATTGTGGAACAAAATATGGTAAGAATAACATTATTGATGAAAAAATACGTGACAATGTGAGGATGCTAGCATTATCCATGTACAGGGAAATGGATCATCTCCATATCCCTTCCTTCTAATCCACCAAATAAGGGGATATGTACCATTGAAATTTTATTCAACAACTACAGAGAGGTCCATTTTAAAAATTATAATAATTTCAGCCGTTGGATCAAATTTTAACCGTACGGATATAATGATTTGATGGATTAGGAGAAAATAAATCGGAGAGGTACAGTTACCAAAGTGGCAAAGAGTCAAGATCTCTGTTGAAGTTTGACAACAAAATAAATGAAAAAAATAAAATAGAAAGAAAATCTCAGTTGTTGAAGGCTTGAAGCTGCAGCTATTCATCTCCTACGCACAGTGACGTGGCATCACATAGATAATAGAGGCAGCTCAAAAGTTGAATCCAAACCAAAATTCTCCTCCAAGTAACTCACATCGTTGGCGTCGCCACCCACTCTCTCTCTTTCTCTCTAAGCACTCACTTTCTCTCTCTCATCGCCATGCAGTCCCTCCAATCCTCCACTCTCCGGCCCGCTCCGCTCGACCCGATTCGGAAACGGACCCCCCATTTCCCTAATGTCACTACCAGAACAGCCAACTCCTCCAGGCGAATCTCATTCATATCCGCCTCCTCCGTCCCCGCCGTGTCCGCCCCTAAGCGCGAGATGGACCCGAAGAAGCGGGTTGTCATCACCGGAATGGGCCTCGTCTCCGTCTTCGGCAACGACGTCAATACTTACTACGACAAGCTCCTCGCCGGAGAGAGCGGTGTGGGTCCAATTGACCGGTTTGATGCGTCCAAGTTTCCGACCCGGTTCGGGGGCCAGATCCGCGGGTTCTCATCGGAGGGATACATTGATGGGAAGAACGATCGACGGCTGGACGATTGCCTTCGGTACTCGATTGTTGCTGGGAAGAAGGCTCTCGAGGATGCTGATCTTGGCGCCGATCAGCGCTCAAAGGTCATTGCTTTCTTTCATTTGCACGTGTTTAATGGTTTCTGTATATTAATTAGCTTAATGGGGTTTTGCAAAATGTGTTAATCTGCTGATTTGGTTCTTTCTGAGATAGGTAAGCGCTCCAAGGTCATTGCTTTTTTTTATTATTTGCATGTGTTTAATTGTTCAATTATGCTCATTAGCTTGAGGGGCTTTCGGTAGAATGTGTAACGATAAGTGCTCCTAGGTCATTGCTTTCTTTGATTTGAAAGCATTTGTTTAATTATGCTCGTTAGCTTGATGGGTTTTTAACAGAATGTGCTAATTTGCCGATTTGAACAATTTGGTTATTTCTGGGATTGATTTGATGTAGTTTTGTGCGTAAGAGTAATGGGTTCTGTTAGAAACTATGGATCTGGGATTTCATGGTTTGCTTATTTCGGGACATGCATGGAAGAATCGTTAACATGTGCGGAGTATATAATTTGATTTGGTTGTGTTTAAACACATGCAGTGCAGAAATGTTTGTTGGATTTGTTTTTCTGTGTTCTGAGTAGTGTAAATGAGTATCTAAAATAGTTGGTTTTGCTTCACTTACAGCTTGATAAATCGCGGACTGGGGTGCTTGTTGGATCTGGAATGGGTGGTCTTACCGTCTTTTCTGATGGTGTTCATGCACTGATAGAGAAAGGTCACAGGAAAATTACCCCCTTTTTCATTCCTTATGCTATTACAAACATGGGGTCTGCGTTGCTCGCTATTGATCTGGGTTTTATGGGACCCAATTATTCCATTTCAACTGCTTGTGCTACTTCAAATTATTGCTTCTATGCTGCTGCAAATCACATTCGTCGGGGTGAAGCTGATTTGATGATTGCTGGCGGAACCGAAGCTGCCATAATTCCTGTTGGGGTGGGAGGGTTTGTTGCATGCAGGGCCTTGTCTCAGAGAAATGATGATCCAAAAACGGCTTCCAGGCCATGGGACAGAGATAGAGATGGCTTTGTTATGGGCGAAGGTGCTGGTGTATTGGTAAGCCTGCGTTGATTTTAATTTTGAAACAAAATGGTCATGTAATCTAATTTTTAGTAGACAGAATGCTACAAAATTCTATCTCAGCTAATCATGAATTCACGATGACTGAAGTGTTGAATGTATACACTGCAGTTGACCCAGTTTTGGTCTTATGATTTTAATCATAACATAAGAAGGGTATTTGTTTTGACAGGTAATGGAGAGCTTGGAACATGCAACAAAACGAGGTGCTACAATTATTGCCGAGTACTTGGGAGGTGGTATTAACTGTGATGCGTATCATATGACTGATCCAAGAGCTGATGGGCTTGGTGTATCTACATGCATACAGAGATGCCTTGAAGATGCTGGTGTGTCACCTGAGGAGGTATTCTCTCTTTTCCGTAAACCTTTCTTGTGTTATATAGTGATTGTTCCTCATCATCATTTAGTGAACTCCCTCACTTTATCAGGTTAACTACATCAATGCGCATGCAACTTCTACCCTTGCTGGTGACCTTGCCGAGATAAATGCTATAAAGAAGGTGTTCACGAACACTAAAGATATCAAGATCAATGCAACTAAGGCAATCTCTCTTCTCTGATCCTCTGTCTCTATAATTCATATGATGTTTCTTTCCTGACTACGTTTTTCTTGCCTTTACTTTGTTTCAGTCTATGATAGGCCACTGTCTTGGTGCTTCTGGGGGTTTGGAAGCTATTGCTGTCATTAAAGCCATAACAACTGGATGGCTGCATCCTTCCATAAACCAATTTGTATGTTATTGTTGCTATGATTTTGGACTTGGTTTCTACAGCATAGCGGTAGTTTGATCTCTCGTATTTGAAACATTATAGTAATGGTTTCCGATGTGTGGCATGTCCTTTATGAAACAGAACCCAGAGCCTTCAGTGGAGTTTGACACTGTTCCCAATGTAAAGCAGCAGCATGAAGTGAATGTTGGTAAGAAGGCCAAACCTTGAAACTCCCAGTGCCTTTACATTTCCAATTGCTCAAATACCGTTCAAATAAACTTTCGTGTGTTTTTTCAGCCATATCGAATTCATTTGGATTTGGTGGACATAACTCTGTCGTCGCCTTCTCTGCGTTCAAGCCCTGATCATCCGACTTGCGTTCAAGTTTTGTAGTACATCAACGATGCTTAGAGGAGATCATAATTTATTTCGGAGGCAAGCTTCATCAGTTTACATTTGAGTCCATCTGTAGTTTTGTAATGATTCAGAAATGTTCTTTTTTTATGGACGCAAGTCGTTTTTAGATACCTGGTTCTGTGAGGAAAACTAGAATGTTATATTTTTTTATCTTTCTTCAAATTATCTGATGGTTAGTAAGAAGTGTGACTAATATAGATAGAGGCAACGCAGACGTGGG